CCTGCGCCTGTCGGCTTTCCCCGCGGATTGGGCGTTGCTGTAGAGTTTGGAAATAGCTAAAGGCTCGTCTCGGCTGAAGTCGGTGGGCTCCTGCCCTGGGCTCCGTCCTGGGGCCGCCCTGCGGTCCCTGGGGCCGCGAGGCAGCCCAGTGCAGCCGTGGCCCCGGGACACGGGCGTGCTGTTCCCGCGCTGGGATTGCTGTCGCTGAACTCGGCGCTGCCCGTCAGAGGTTTAAAGAGAGCCGGCTTCTCGTTCCGTTCCTTCCCGATATTGTTTATGACTTTATTTAGACTTGCCTGAGAAAGTCAAGCCTTCCTAAACCCAGGGGCACGCTCTTAACGGCCTCCTTTTACCTTTTTTTTCCTTTTTTAATAAGAAAAAAGGGGAGGGGGAACCGATCGGGACTGATGGTGCCCCACGTGATAATCGTACGATACTGGGGCTACGGTTCCTTCCTCTGCTCGCCAAGGCTTGTTGCATCATGCCTGGACCTGGGCCATGGGCTCCCGAGGAGGAATGTCACCGGACCTCTGTGTTTGCAGGAGCTCAAATTCCATCCTCGGAAAGTCTTGGGGAGGGGGAAACCCCCGCGTTGGTCAGGCCTGTGCCCGCGGAGCAGAGGCACGTCGGGTGTCTGCCTGGCATCTCTTTGATCCCTGGTCCTTAAGGCTGCTGGCGAAGAGCCTCTCTTGCCGCAACCAAGGGCTGCGTGCGAATGCTGCATGGATGTTTGCTGACGGTCAGGAGCTCAGCGAGGCGTCTGCCTTCACAGAATCACAGAATGGTCGGGGTTGGCAGGGCCCTCTGAGGGTCATCGAGCCCAACCCCCTGCCCAAGCAGGGTCACCCAGAGCAGGGGGCACAGCACCGCGTCCAGGCGGGGCTGGAATATCTCCAGAGAAGGAGACTCCACAGCCTCCCTGGGCAGCCTGGGCCAGGGCTCCGTCACCCTCAGAGGGAAGAAGTTCTTCCTCGGGTTCAGCTGGAACTTCCTCTGCTTCACTTTGTGCCTGTTGCCCCTTGTCCTGTCACTGGGCACCACTGAAAAG